ATTTTGTGCCCCACCACTTTGCCCCCTGCTATTTCCCCCCCCCCCACTTTGCCCCCTGCTGTTTCCCTCCATATCCTTCCTTCTGCTGCCTCCAGCTCCCTTTCCCCACCCAGGGGCTCCGTCTCCAAGTCCTAAGCGTGATCCCTGCCTCATCCTGCCTTTGGGCTGTGCCTATTCCCCCAGCACCACCTGTGTGCTCCTTGTCCCCCGCAGCTGCGGGGTGGCCGTGTCGCCCTTCCCTTCCATGTTGTGTGTGCGCGCAGATGCGGCTGACCAGAATGAGTTTGAAGAAGAGGAGGAGGAGGAGGAGGAAGGCCTGGATGACTTCTTTCCTGAATTGCTGTCTGAAACTGCTTCCCCAATGACCTTGGAAGGAAGTAGGTGGCTTGGGTGGCCAAACCCTGCTCGTCACAGGCCGTGCTGCTGCAGTGGCTTGACTGGCCTTGCTGGCAGTGTGCTAGGACAGAGCTGTTCCCGCAGGACCCTTAACATCAAAAGCTTGTTCCCAGGAATACGGATGGGGTTGTGAGGATGGGGCCTGAGGCAACAAAAATGGCAAATCAGTGATTTATCCAGAGCTTCTCTGGGTATTCCTTTGAGAGATGCTTTTCTCAGCTTGACTTTTCCACCTCTTCCAAACTGACAGCGACTGACTGGGATGAACAGCTATTCTCTTTCTGTATTTTAATGTAGTTTAATGATAAGAAAAAAAGGGTAAAGAGTTAAGCTCGATCAAATGCTTTAGCCCTTTAGTGGCACAGCAACCTTTAATACAAAGTGGAAAAGTGATAAAAAGGTATCAGAAGAGGATGATGATTCTCTGAGGCTCGGAGTTTCAATTCTGTGCTGTTGGTATCCATGCAGCTCTCTTAAGCTTCTGAGTTATTTGTAGAAGCAAGATACCTAGTCATTTATTTTGAGAAAATAATTGGAAGGATCTGTCTTAAATGTGCAGAATACGTATTTATTTATTTATTTTTAAGGGATGACTCTGAAAAGCAAGATGACCCTTCTAGAACTTTCAGATGAAGCAAGTGTGCAAGGTCAGATGTCAGGTCTCTCTGTTGGGTCTGCATTGAGTGATCTGGAGCAAAGATTTGTGACTGAAAGTGTGGAACACGTACCCCAGGTAAGACTGTTGCACTTCACTCTCGTTTTTTGGGAGTATCAAAATGCTGGATTTTGGCTGTGACTGTTTCAGTAAAATTGATGGGGAAGTTAAAGGGGTACAATGAAGAGCAAGAACAGAACATTTTACAAGAATAGGAATTTCATTCTGAAACAGATATTTCCTGGTGTCTGCAACAGCCTTTGATATTGGCTAACTTGAGCATACAAAGGAAATTTACTTGATAAAATGCTACATTTTCAGTGAGGAAATGCAGTAGTTACTTGGATAACACATTAGCTATTCCCAGAGTTGTTTGTAACGGGAAAGCTGTAGTTAGAATAATTGCTAGATAAAAATGTAATGCGAAGAGCATGTAAGGGACACTGAGCAAAGGTTTTTGTAGTTCTATTATTTTACCTAATTAGAAACGGCCTAATTAATTTGGTGGGAAGTAATGATAGTTATATTCTTTTTGATTTTCTGTTCTAGTTAACAAAACAGAAGGCTGACCGTCTGTATTTCTATGTGGCTCTTGATGAAATTCCTGAAGAATTTATATCCGGTGATATTGTATACTTTCTGAGAGACACCAAAGGTATTTGCCCTGAATAACCACTGGCTGTGCACTTTCAGTATTTGTATTAAAAGTCACTTCAGACTGGGAAAATAGGAAGGTGAAGATTCAGGAAGGTGCAAGCCCATGTAGTTAGCCAGGAATCCTCTCTGAGTTAAACCAGGAAACTAGGAATACTTTTTATTTCAAATTTATGGAAAGTTGGTTGACTTGCGCGTTTTACCAAGATAGATGAAACTTCAATGTTGCTACCAGAGGAATTAAGAAATTTTTGTTACTATAGCTGTGTAAATTGTGTTGTGGATGAAGAGCTGTATCTCAAAGGCCGTAAGATGATGAGCACAACTGAAGGATCTGTCCTCCTGACTTGATTCAAAGTTAGATGCGCAATAGAAACATATGGAGTAAAGATTTTATTCTGATAGTTCATATATTGTCATAAAAGCAAGAAAACTATTTCTACTATATCTTTATTAGGGAGAAAATAAAACTTTTGTGGTATTGTTTTAGTGATTGCTTTTTGTATCAAATAATTAGGTTTATACTAATTCTTTATATACTGTTTAGAAACAATTACTGAACCTAATGACCTGGCTGAAGCTAATGAGATTCTTCCTAAAATGATAGAGTTTGGCACACTGACTGGTCACACTCTTTTGATGTTGAAGAATGTCTTTGCACAGGTAACAGTTTTTATGCACAAAGTCTTGAGTGATTTACCTATTTAGTATTCTTCTAAAGGCACAGATTGTTCATAAGAAATATTAATATTTACTGAGCGAATGTCATTTGCCAAAATGGAGTTTGTGTCAGCAATTGGTTTCTATTTCTGTTTCCTAAATTTCTGTGAAGATGTAGGGACAGGGATTGTTCATTGAATTGCCTAGCCCTGCCTGAGACGCATTTAAAAATGTGACAACAGATACACTTATTTTTGTACTGATGGACTTCTGTGAAAGTATGTTGAAGCTGTTCCCCTGTAGAGTTTGATGCAGAGAGAATGATGATAAAAAGGTGATGTGGAGAGAGATGCGTTTAAGTTTAGAACAAGCTTAAGTGAATTACAAATAAGGTAACTGGATTTTTTTTTTTTTTTAATGTCAATCCTCTAATTTATGCTACCTGTTTGAATTGTAGGTGTTTTTGCCTATTCTCTCCTATAATCAGCAGCAGGCTGAGGAAGCTTTGTTTCATCCAGATAGTGAGAAAAGAGATTCTGAAAAAAGGAGTTTAACTGAGGCTGAGGCTGCAAAAAGGAAAGAACAGACTGTGGAATACTGTAATATTAAAATAATGAGGAATGAGTTTCTAATGAACATGCAAAAATTCTTAAGCCATATTCAACGGACAATACAACAAATTGAAGGCAAGTATTTTGTATCGTCTGGCACTTTGCTGTTTCAAAAGATGACAGGAGAAAGAGATTCACCAAGAAATGGCTTTGCTTAGAACAGAAAATACATACAGTTTCTGGGGAAGCTCCAGTTCTGGTTAAAGTTTCTTGTTGCTGTGACTGTAATATTTTTATTGCCTTAAACATAGCAGACAGAATGGGGAAATGGACCAAATCAGTGATGAATATTCTTGCAGACAGCATAGAATAAGAAAGGAGCGAGGATAAACATGCCTCATTGCTTGCCAGTATCCACAGGACTTAGACCATAGCAGGACATAGGAAATGAAAACCAAATCAAATTGTCACATGTTGTTTATCATCCATTCTCTAGCAGGGGCTACTGGCATAACATTGGGGAGGGTGTAATGGCCCACAGTAGGCAGACTGATAATGTTAATTCAAGTACTAACCTTGATTCTTAATAATTTGAGAATTGGTTGAGGAGTCAAAACTTAGAGGTTTTCAGTTATTTCCAGTGACATCTTTGTTTGCACCGGGTTAACTTTGAAGCAGCTGGACATGTTTTGCCATATTCTCCAATGGCAGAGCAACTACTCTATTATTGGGACAGAAGATGTAAACTGTTTCTGATATTTTACTTAAACGATGCTGATGGAACAAGATAGTTAATATTAGGTGCATTTTCTTCCAATAGGAAAGGTTAAACTGGAAATGCCAGATGTAAATCTAGATGAAGAAGTGACTGTTCTTGCTAAAGCTCCAGAAGTGGTTGAAACCCTCGAAGGTTATGCAGTTACCTGGCAAAAATTATTATCCACAGCTGTAGGGGAACAGCTGAAAAAGGTCCCGCAGGTAATCTTGCCCCTAACACCATTGTGTTAAAACTTTACCCCCAGTGATATTTCTTCATTTTGCACAGGTATCTTTGGCAATGACTTGTGCTGATTTTTAATCCGTATTCACATCTACAAGTGCATAAGCATTTCCAAGCTAAGAGTTTTCAGCTCCAAATCTGGGATGTGCTCCGTATAAGCAGTTCCTCAGCCTGTATAAAGAGCCTTTTTGATTTCAAGGATCATCTTCTGTATGGTATTTTTTTCATGATTGGTTCACATCTGTCTCCCATCTGTATACTGAACACATTGGTTCAGTATACAGCATATTGAAAAGAAAGAACAAGTACAGTCTTTTCATAACGACTGTGTGCTCAGTCTTTATGAAAAACTCATAATTTACATAATTTGCAATGAAAAGACTCATAATTTACTTTGTTGTTGTTTTTTATTCCTTGTTGCTTATAGGGTAATGGTCCACTGGCAGAAATTGATTTCTGGCGGGAAAGAAATGCTACTTTAAGTGCTCTTTCTGAACAGATCAAGCTTCCAGAAGTGAAAAAAATCTTGGCAGTACTGCAAGAAGCTGAATCTGAGCATTTTGAAAGTTTACAGAATGTCTTAACTGATCTCCGAAAACAACATGTGGAAGCTCTAGATAATGTTAGGTTTCTTTCAACTCTTGAGCGCCATTTGAAGGTATGTATCTAGATTTTTATATGTAGTTACAATAAGGTGTGCTTATTTTGTTTGAGATACAGTTGTTCTAGTACTTGAAAGGAGAAATAAGCACAGAGCTGTGAATGGTTTGGTTTATTAAATCACAGTCTCGAGGGGGTTAGATAGGATAGCTGAGTTAATGAAAACAAGGATTTCGCTGCTCTATTTTTGAGCTATCTTCTGTTGCTAGTTACAGCAGATGTCCCTTGTTAAGAGCTGTTGAAGATCATTCCAACATCCACATGGAGAGCTGTTCCAAAAACACCCCAAAAAAATTTGTGGCGTCTTATACAGAAAACAGAAAATGAAGTTAAGACAGCACCTAATAAGTATGCAGAACAATAGATGCAGATCTGTACACCCTTAACCATCTAGTTAATTTATATTCACCAGAGTGTGATATATACTGGTTGACTGGTTATCTTTTTACTAATGTCATGGATTTTCTTAACTCTCAAGTATTTATAGAATAAATGTTGTTTGATAGGGTATACGTATGTTTATTGTGATGACGGATTATTCACAATGTTTATAATATGCTTAGAATTTGACACATGGCACTGGGTTTAATGTTGTGCTGGATACAATTCCTTCACTGATGAATGCCCTGCGAATGGTGTGGATTATCTCACGGCACTACAACAAGGATGAGAGGATGGTGCCACTCATGGAACGAATTGCATGGGAAATTTCAACAAGAGTGTGCAAAGTTGTGGATTTACGTACCCTGTTTAAGTAAGTACTGGATTCTTCTTTAGTTAGGCTGCACTTATTAAAAACTTCGTTTTACAGGAAGTATTTTAAATAGTTTCATCAAATAGGTTGCAATGATTTTTAGTATCTGAAATTGTATTAGAACAACTTCAGTGTCCATTTATTTTATAGCTTGCATACATTATTGAATCATCCCTGAAGAAGTGAATGTTTGTCCTCTTTTGTCTTGAAAGGGCATAAATTAATATCAATAAATCCACTAAAATTATAGTAGCACAAAAGTGGCATAAATGTCATTCCATTCTGAAATAATATCTCCTTTTAAAATCAGCCCTGCTGAAAATGAAGACCTCACAATTATTTTTAAAGTTTTGCTTAGGTCTGTTATTTAAAAGCTGCTAAACCAGGGTATGTAAATCCAGACGAGAAATCATTTTCTAGCCATAGTGTTTTGTTCTATCTATGGTCTGTTAACTATTCTGATTTGGTTAATAGAGAGGATAGAACTGCTGCAAAAAATAAAGTAACAGAAGCTAAAAGCACTCTTGAAGAATGGAAGAAATCTTATTTTACTGTTCGTGCCCAAATTGAAGCATCAGGAAGAGAGCAGCGTTGGGAATTTGACCGAAAACGTTTATTTGAAAAAACAGATTATATGGCTTCAATCTGTCAAGATCTGTATGATACTTTGCAGGTAGCAATATATACAGTAATAAAGAGAAGGACTGTGTATTCAGTTTTTTCTTTTGTAGAGGGGGTTCTTGTACATTATGCTTGTTGAAGTATTAATGGCCTTTATTTTTTTTTAGTGTGTGTTTAACCTTTGATTTCAATAAAGCTGCATTTATGCTTCAGATTAAATAAGTGCTTGCAATTTCTGAGGATACTTGTTGAGGAAATGCGTTGCTGTGTACACTGCTGTTATCAACATACAGATTTGCACCAAGTGTTTCACTTATCTGCCATTTTTTTAGTTTGCTAGGTTAATGATATATCACTTTAAGTAAATTAATAAGTGTAGTATTATATAATTACATATACATTATATATAAAATTTGACAGTATATGATTCAGCATATTAATTGCAGATTAATTTATACAAATGGATAGATGGTATATTTAGGCCCAAGAAAGGATAATTAAAAATATTAATGATCCATCAGTTGTTCATCATATGCTATAAACTGTCTTCGTAAAAACGCTGTAGTGGAAATATTATACAAAGAAGTAAGATTGAAGTGTTGGAGTGTTAGATCTTAAGTGTTGGATCTGTAGGATTTTTTTTTAATCTACTTAGAATGTAAATCACAGCAAGAATTGATGGTTTGCTAGGAAAGGAAATAATAGGAATAATAAAGGAAATAATAATAGAAAGATAACAGTTATATGTCAGGAAAAAAAAATAGAAAAAAAAGACTTTCTGGTATCTTCTTCCAAACAAACAGGTCATTGAAGAGTTCTATAATATATTTGGTCCTGAACTTAAAGCTGTCACGGGTGATCCAAAGCGTATTGATGATGTATTGAGAAGAGTAGATGGACTAACTGGTCCTATGGAGCAGCTGACTTTTGACCCTTTTAGCATCAAATGTGCATCTCAGTGGAGATTTGTTAAGGAAGAATTTAAAGAAGGAGTTTTAGTGAGTGTCCCGTATTGTGATTTTCTTGTATTGCTTTGTATATAGAAATTCCTTTTAGAATGTCAGCATTTTCATGTAAAGAAAATAAAATTTTGCAAAATAAAAGAATAAATAAATATATAAATGAAAATGTGAAGAATTTGACCAAAATTTTTAAACAAGTATTTTGTTTTCAAGTTATTTTTGCTTATAATTCCGCTTTATTTTCTGAACTGGTGAAACATACTCTTTGATCATTGGCTGAATTGCTACAGTGTAAACAGAGGCTACATATGACCTCTCTGTACTCATGGACTGACAAATCTCAATCACATCCTTCATAGAAGTAAAACTTTCTTTTCTGGATTCATTTAGCCCTTCATTCCTCAGGTAGCATACCCAAAATGCACGAATTGTTATGATGCTTTTTTCAACTTGCATTCCGGCCCTGTAGTGTCTGGGTTAACACTCATTTTCTGTGACTTGCTGGAAATCCATCAGTTTGTTAATGATTCATTGTACAAAGGCTAGTAAAAACATACTTGACCACTATTAAAGAAAGGTTGTTTTCGTTTTTGTCTTCCCTTGGTTTTGCAAGGTAAACCTTTAAGTGATAGTATTTTTTTTCTGGCCCTCTTCCTTTGTCTTTGCTTAGGTTATTGAAGAAGAGGCCAAAAACTTTGTTGACGAATCTTTTAAGACCCTTCGGTCAGCAGAAGCTGCGTTTGACATGCTGTTAAACTTTAAACACATCCGCTCTCGTGAAGCCATTAATAAGCAGATGATGATGAAGTTCAATGATATTTTGGACCAATATTGTAAAGAGGTATTTCATTTAAGAATTTCTGAAGAACTACACAAAGCTCTTTACCTGGAGAAGTTCATAAATCTGTGTATCCAAACACGTCATTTGCCATCCAAAGGACTCAGTTAAGCATAACAATTGTTCTCTGTTTTTTTTTTTTTTTTTTTTTAAACAAGCTGAAAATAAGGAAGGAATTGTTTTCATCTTGCTCCTGGAATTCGCTTCAAAGCTTTGCTTTATATCTGCTTAGATTTCGATCATGAAAGAGCAAGTGAAGTGATTCTTTGCAATATTTCATTCTCTTTTAGGTTGGAAATGTTAAGCAGATCTTCATTCAGAACTTCAAAAATCCTCCTCTGTGCAAGAACCATCCTCCAGTGGCTGGAGCCATATACTGGTCCCGATCCCTTTTCTATCGGATCAAACACACTATTATTCGATTTCAGGAAGCGGAGGAGTTGCTTGCTAGTGAACGTGGAAAGGAAGTATGTTGCCTCTGTTGCCTTTTGATATATATATTTGAGAAATAACTCTCCTCATACCTTTATTTTCAGGATGTGAAAGTGTCCTTATGTGAGCTGAAGTTCCAAAAATGTCTTTGCAGATGGTGATATGTTATACATGGGAGGTGATTTGGAACTTCTCACTGACTTATGGACAGGCAGCAACAGAATTAGTGCTAGAACTCAGGAGCCTAAATCCTCTATCCACCTGCATTAACTACTAGGCTTTGGTTGCCCTCATCTAATAAAATATTTTTAAAAACTTACTAAGATAGGGTAGTGAAATTCTTATTTCTCTTGATCTTTAAAATGATTTTTACTTAATTTTTGAGGTAAAACAGATATATCTTCAAGTGGCCAAGAAGATGAAAGAATATGAAGATCAGAAGTATAGTCAGTGGAGAGATGGGACAGAACAGATACTTCCACAACTCTTGAAAAAAACTCTGCTGACTAAAGTCATTTCTACTGGGCCTATAACACGCACTAACCCAGAGGGTTCTGAGCAGGTGAGAGATGGGAAGGTAAAACACCGGACTTACCTGTCAGAAAGGACTGAAATTCATTTGATGGTCAGTGAGAGTTTTCTTTAAGTGGTATTTTAAAGAGGGACACAGTTTTTAGAAGGAAGATTTCAGTAGTTTGGAACTCAGTTTGCAGCCCTCCATAGGGCGTTTGTTGCAGTTGCTTAATGACCTGGCAGACTGATGAATATTTTTTCTCTGTGCATTCTTATGTGCTTTGATTCCTATTAATCCACAATATTTTCTGCAACATCTTTGGGACGTTATAACAAAATATGGGATTGAAGTTAGGTAGAGGTAGGTTCCCAGTAGAGATCCTGTAGAACACCATTTAGATTCATAATTTGCTTGGCTGTAAACTTTCTCTGAGCTTTCTGTTACAGCAGTTTCAGAAGGGTTTGCAGCAGTATTGGTGGTTTGGTTGGTTTCTTGTAATCATCTTTCATTGAAGAGGTAGTTGTGTGTTAATTTCTGAAATTAGAAGTTTGGTATCTTAATTTTAAAGGTATCTGCACAAGCTCTGGATATCAGCCATTCTGTTCAGTTTCTACCAACTACCCTATCAAATTCTCTGAGAGCTAAATTTTTCCTTGCTTTGTAACAATTAGATGTTCCCCTCATTTCTACTTTGTGTTGTAGAATTCTCTAGCAGATGAGCCTATCGCCATGGAGAAATCTGTCCATTTCAGTGTGAATTTTTCTCCCAGACTCTATGAGATTATCAGTGAAACAAAGTACATGGAACAAATGGGGTTTCCAATCCCAGAAATGGCAAGAAATGTAGCATTACAAGAAGACAAATATCTCAAGTAAGCCTATAACTGAATACCTCCTACCATGTAGGTTTTTGCTAGTGTTTCCAGTTGTTCAACTCCAAAGCAGCATGGCCCTGAGTCATCAAAGTTCATACGAGATCTCTTAATTATTTTTTTTCACAAATAGAATTACTAATGGTCACTTTGTATTAGTAATCTTTCCTCTGGTGCTGTCTGCATCTTTCACTCTCCATATGTTCACTCTCCAGTGTATCAAAACTTGCAAGAAAAAGAAGGATTTTTATTTTTTTTTTTTTGCAATGAAGTGTTAGTTCCCTTCAGATTATAGGTCATATTCAAGATGTCTTTCTTATGCTGCCATGGACAGTCACTTTGTTCTGCTGAAGCACGTAAAAATGCAGATAACAATTCCAACTGAATTTTAAAGATCACCAATTAGGTTCATTTATGTGCTTCAAACTGAGGCTGATTTTAAAACTTTTTCTGAGTTGAGTCTAGAAGAGTTGGTCTAATTACTGTTGGAGCCATTTGAAATCTTTTGTTCGTTTTCAGTGGGAAATGAACTGGATTTATAATCAATATTCATTGGTGATTTTCTTCATATTTTGGTTTATATAGGAGTCTGAGTAGGATGCTGAAAGTGATTGCACTTTGATCTATGTTTAGACCTTTATTTCCACACAATCCTGATTTTTATGAATATGATCAGGCAATTCCTGATTTTTTTTTTCTGACATGCTTTTCACACGCATTAGGTACATAGATGGACTGAAAAACATGCTGGATCACTATGACCGATTAATGGGAGCATTAGATGAAGCAGAAACCAAGCTTCTTGATGATCATATTCAAGAGCTGTGGAGAGTATTCAGATCAGGACACAGGAGACTCAATTGGAATTCCTTAGGTACCTGAGATGCTATTTTAAAATATGCTTATATGCTGATTTTCGTTTTAAAAAAATCCTTAATTCATTTTATTTTTTGCATCAGATCAGATGTATCTGATGTCCTCAGAATGATGTATCCCTAAATAGTATATCCTATTGCCACTAGCAGGGATAAAATACTGGGCTAGATAGGGTCTGATTCAGGAGGGTGTATCTTATGTTTTTATTATATTTAAAGCTCAGTGCAAAAATCATTATAGAAGATTAAATAACAGAACTGGAAGGAAACTCTCCTGTGAGAAATGATCTAACCTGTCTTTCTAGAGAGTGTCATTTCAGTTTCAGAGACTTAACACATTTGGTTATGAGTGTTCAGATGTGCTGGTGAGAATTTTACTAAGAGAAAGTTTGTGATTTTTTTCAAGGTATTAGTGACTTCATCGTCCGCTGTACACAAGCCATTGGGAAATTTGAATCACTTATCCATCAGATTCATAAGAATTCTGAAGACATAAATAACAAACTTCTGCTAATAGAATCAACAAATCTCTTTAAGTCTCCACCTTCAAAAAATGGTGATGAGCTCCCCAGTAAGTCTTTATGTATATATTTTTTCAGTTCTAAGCTTCATGACAGTTTGTTTTGCTCATTGCCTGCTACTTTGCAATTCTAGTTGCTAAGATCAACCCTTATTAAGGTTTCCAAACCTAACTGCAAAACTATTTTATGATGTAACACATGATGTAACAAGCAGAGCTTCGGTGCCTTAAAGCTTTCAAAGAGGGAGAGAGGTGGATGGATAAGTAGATCATCTCTGTCTAGCTATGTAGACCTGTGTCTGTCTTGCCGAGTTTTCTCTTGCTTTCTTTTTCCTTCTTGTGTGTGTTATTTGGTACTTTAGGCTGCAATCTTCACTCTTTTGGGGTATCTGAACTGCAGTGGTTTTCTCAGGGGGAAACTGCAGTAAGGTGACTGGCATCTCCCAGATCTCCTGGTCACTTGAGTCATGACCACATTTCTTATAAAGCTTTCTGAAATGTCTGATTACATATAAAATCAGAGAAAATACTGAAATATTAATGACTCAAGCGTTAATAAATGAAGATTTTTTAAAATCTTAAGATCAATTTCATGTTCACAGATAAAGTCTAGCTAATTATTCAGTTTTTTAGATCCGTTAGATCTTTTGCAGTTAATACTATTTTTTATCTTTTGCAGAAGTGAAAGAATATTTTGAGCATGTTAAGTGTGAAAGAGTAAAAGACGTGGAACACATGGTCAGAAGATATATGGCTATTGGACCATTGCTAACAAAGGTGGAAGGGTTGGTTGCCAATACAAACAGTGGCAAATCTCCCAAATTATTTTCCTATTATGCATACTGGGAAAATAGGATTTATCAGGTGTTGATACAGTTAATTCTGAAGTAAGTTGATTGCTTTAAAGAGTGTTCTTTCATCTTTGCATTTTTCCAGATTTTTTTTTTATCTAAATTCATATATACTGATATTCTCTCTGAACACCTCAGCGATCTGGAGCTTGAGGCAGATCGTACTTGTATTGGCTTTATATGCAAACACAGGGAATTGATTAAAAAGGTAAAGGAGAAATCTTAATTCTGAGAGAATGAATATTTACAAGTCGTTGGCAGAAGAGAGATATAGAGTTGCTCTTCTGTAGTCTATATGGTTTGCATATGCCAGTTTTTTTCTTAAAATCAAAGCCTTGTTTTACCAAAAGAGATGATTTTGAGAACTTGACATCTGGGTGCCATATGCACCATAATGCTGGGACTGTCAGTACAAGGACAAACATTTGCTGTGTTATACTGTACCTGTTCAGTAGCAGCTGGGGCCAAACAGGTTCCTGTGGCAGGACGTTACAAAGACTCTGGTGTGCCTTGTGTACGGGAGACTTGCCTTGGAGCTGACTATGGTCTCAGGGTCTTTTTGCACCAGGGTATCCCCTCTGTTTCTTCTTACGTCTTTTTCTGGCCAGTGAAGCTTTTGCATTAAATCAGTCTAGGGGGACAATTCTGCTCTTAGATACACTACTGGGTTTCCAGCTGAAGTTGGTGTTAACTGACTTCAAATGGATCTACTTTCACATCTAAGCGCATAGCTGATAATTGCAATCCCTGCTGGGCATTTCCATGGTTGGCAGTACCTGATTATAACTGTAACTCTGATGTGATTTGTTTCTCTCTTCCAGGAATTTGCAGTCTTTTAATGCCTCCATTGTTGCAAATGTGCCACTGTTCCAAACAGAAACTATTTTGTCTGCTCCTGAGATAATCTTGCAACCTAATGCCAGTGAGATTGACAAAATGACTGTAGAGTGTATTCGAGACTGTGTTGAAGTCACTAAGGTGATTTTTGATTAACCTTTATTTGCTGCTAGAGTTTCCCTCTTGTCATGATGAGTTAATTCTGCTTTATATTTGTGCAAGTATAGAAGGTGAAAGATTTGTTTTAATTTATCTTGAAATTAAAATACTCAGCACACTTCCCTAATTTTACAAACTGTTCTAATTTTTCAAAATGATGAGACGAAAAAAATCATACAATTTTTATTCAAGCAAAATGGTTTGTCATTCTTCAGCTGTCCATTCATAAGGATATGATTTGGTTCTATAAATCAGCATACATCACAAGGAAGTATCTTTCAGTTTGCACTGCAGAGATTCCCTTCTTAGAGATGAATAAGTTGGTAGGATAAGGAATGTCACAGTTTTCTTCTGTATTGAAGCTCTACTCATAAGCAACAAAACAATGGTTTGGAAAAAGTTAGGAGGGTGACATAACTGCTGTATTCATCTAGGACAGCGAGTTTGCAGCTGAAGAAATTACCTACCTTGTTGGCAGAGATGTAGCAATAGTTCTCTGAGTGAGAACAACTTCTTTCCAGAAACACAGCCAAAAGCTGAGGGAGCAGTCCTGGCCTGCACTGATGGAGGAATGATTCTGGATGCCACTTGAAATGCAAAAAAAAATAGGTCAAGTGTGCTTTCAACTCTCAGGTTTTCTGTTTCGCTCCACTGCAGCAACTAACCTGTTTAATCTGGTACTGGATTCTCTGTACTGGGCTATATTGTAGTACTGATTTTTGAAGCAGACTGAATAATGCATGGAAATGTTTTGTTAGAATAAAATTTAATTCCCATCTCAAGTGTATGGGAAAGTATGACCTCTTTTTTGCTGCCAGAAAAAAACAACTGATTTGAGAAATCGCTCACACTGTTTCCCACTTAGGCTCCTAAATACTAATGAACAATTTGATGGATATCATTCTCTTTACAAAGTAATTATTTCACACCTCTTTCTTGCAAATTCTAGCATTTTGTGCGATGGATGCATGGCACGTGTATTGAATGCCCTCCTCAGCGGGTTGAGGATGATGAAATTATCACCTTGAGTTTTTACAGCGACATCTCCCAGAACCCTCTGATAATTGAACAGGCTGTTCTCATCACTCAGAATGTCCACAAACTTCTGGCCTTTCTCAGCAATTATTTGAACCGATGGAAGAGATATCGTCTGCTGTGGAAATTAGACAAAGACATAGTCATGGAGAAATTTGCTGCCAGGAAACCTGCTTGTGTCATCTTTGATGAAAAGTTGCAGTTCTATACAAAGATAGCTCAAGATGTGACTCAGCAGACATTGGTTAAAGATGTGCGGTTTATCAGGCTTCAGCTGGGACCTTTAGCCTACACCTTGCAGGAAAATGCCAGAGGCTGGGTGATTTCACTTGGAAAGTTGCTTAATGAGTCTGCAAAGGAGGAACTTCTAAATCTTCAGGAGCAGATTGAGGTAGATGCTTTCAGTTCTTTGTGTCTGATAGAACTAGCAACTGATCATTTGAACCATTGTCTCAGTTGATGGAAGCTAGCTGGTGTATGCTAGTATGCCATTCAGCAATGAGCTGCACTCCCTGTAGCTGGGAAATGGGAGAAAGTAGTGACGTAAAAAAAAAAGTGATTTTTTTTTCCTATAGTGTTGAAAGTTTCATACTGGTAATTCTGGAGTTCTGTTTAAGCTACTGCTTACAACTTCTATCCTCTTGTAGCAAAAACATCTTTGCTTTATTGGTGTTTACTTTTAACTATTTTTTTTTGATGTGTGATCTTTATCACACTGATTAAAAGCAAAAATGATCTTCGTGTATGCACTGAATGAAACTGCGTGGCTTATGAAATGAAAGGCAAGAGCAGGGCTCTCGCCCATCTTCCTTAATTTCAGTGAGCGTTCAGCCAAAAGGCTGGAATGCAACTTATTGAAATTTTTTTTGATGTGTGATCTTTATCACACTGATTAAAAGCGAAAATGAATCTTCGTGTTCTCTACTTTTGCTTTTTGTTTGACTAATAAATATAATTCTGATGAATTGTTCTGTCGTTGTTGCTTCTAAAAATTGTCTTTGCTTTTTACAGAGATTATCACAGGATCTGAAGACACCTCCTGATTCACTGGAAGATCTCAAATTTGTCCTTGGCACAATTGCAGAGATCAAGGACATATCCTTCAAGGTGGAACTGAAATATCTGGACATCCAGGAGAGATACCGAACTCTTGCAATGTACAATATTCCAGTGAGTGTCTTCTCTCATAAAATATTTACAATTTGAGCTAGGGTACAATTGCCTTGCATGGCAATGTTTCCCTTCAAAGACGTTATACAGAATCACAGAATCACTGAGGTTTGAAGGGATGTCTGGAAATCCTCTAGTCCAACTTCCCACTGCTCAGAGCAATATATCCTTTTTAAATGAACATATTGCATTTGTTTAAATCTGATTCAGGTCAGTTAAATGCTCTTTTTAAGTTTTGTGAATTTAATAGTGTGATCATGCCTTCACTTTCTTGAGTCATTTTTGCTTGTATGAGATGTTACTTGTTTTGTTTTAGGTACCTAAAGAAGAGCAAGAGATGTCTGACAAGATTAGGGAAAAGTGGGAGACTCTTTTAGATGAGGCATCGGAAGTTGATCACAGCCTTGGAAGCATAAAGAAGACATTTACAGAGGTAATATTTGTTACATTGTAAAAAAATAGAAAGGGAAAGGCAAACAATTTAAACATTGTTCTTTTTAGATTACACGGCAGCAAGTTGGGGACTACAGTAAAGAGATAGCAGATTTCTTCCATAGATTCACGACAGAGGGACCTGGCGCTGTTGGGGAAGATCTTGATAGAGGTAAATAGTTTGATGTTTGTGAAGACTTTGGACAATTCTTTAAATCTTATGCAAAATGAGGAAATTATGATCCCTTATTAAAATGCAAACTGATCAGCCAGGAATGTGACATTTTTAGTACTATAACTTCTATGCAGATAGACGATACACAAGTTCTGCCCTTACTTGTCTGTCAAGATCCATAGGAGTGCTCATCTAGAAAACATTCTCTCCTTTCCTAGGATTGGAACTCATGGACATTTTCGAAAAAGAATTGGAAAATCTGGAAAAAAGTCATCAGGAACTGGGCAATGCTGAGAAACTTTTTGACTTGCCAATCACATTATACCCTGAGTTATTTAAAGCACAAAATGATATGAGAGGTCTAAAGCAGATCTATGAAATTTATAAATTACAAAGAGTAAGTATTGCAGTGTGTGTATATAGATAGAAACACACACACACACACTTACGTGCATGCATATACACAGAAGAAGAGAGACTGTGCTGTCCTCTTGTTGCTATCATCTCTGCTTCTTAGTCTTTGCATGAAATCAGCTGTTACCTTTAATTGACTATCACCATGATGTAGATTTAGTGAAGATAGTAAAAGAGTAAAGCTGTACTATTATTGTCTGATAGGAATGGATTCTGATTGTATTGGGTGGTGTTTTAGTGCACAAGAAGCCCTCATGATTTCAGCCGGACCGTATGTTCTGGTCACAATAGGTATCTCAGGCCCTAAATGATCTTAAAAAACTATTTAGTAGGTTTTTTTTTTTTTTTTTTTTTAATTCAGATACCTTAACTTTAAGGGCCAGACTGTTCTCTTGTAATGTGTATTATGGATGTGCTTTATGTTCTGGTTGTATTTGACTATGAACCTGTCTTGGACACGAACCTGTCTCTGTAAAATGTTAAAATGTAAAATTTGCATCCAGACTGTGGTATCTAGATCTGAAAGAGAATGTGATTTTTCTTTTTTTCTCTTTATGACTTTGCTTCCAGGAAGCTAAAGAGGAATGGTCTCAGACACTCTGGATAAACCTCAATGTCCAGTTTCTTCAGGAAGGAATTGAAGGATTTCTTAAAAGCCTTCGAAAGCTGCCCAAACAAGTCCGCAGTATGCCAGTGGCCTTTCACTTGGAAGCAAAAATGAAGGCGTTTCGAGACTCCATTCCTTTATTGCTTGATTTAAAAAATGAAGCTTTAAGAGACAGGTTTGGTTTGATTTATTTAAATCCATTATTCTGTATACAAGGAGGTTTTGTTTGTTTTGTGAGAACTTTTAATTTCAGGTACTGGCATCTTGCTTCACTTTCTGTTTAATAAACTTGTGTGATAGCTTGTAAGGAAGGTCAGGATACCTGATGTATCCAAAATACCAATTCTTGTTAAGTAGTAGAATGTAAAAATATTGTTTCATGGTTATGTATTACACTACATCTTATATACTTATTATATTCTATCACCTTTACTGTGTCGTAATGCCAGGTATCATTTTTGATCTGCCCGTTTAACACACAGGCATTGGCAAGAGCTTATGGAAAGAACAGGAACAAGTTTTGAAATGACGACAGAAACATTCACTTTGGAGAATATGTTTGCTATGGAGCTTCACAGACATTCAGATGTTATCAGTGAAATAGTTGGAACTGCTGTTAAGGAGCTTAGCATCGAGAAGGTAATTTTAAAAGCCATATTAAAACTAAAAAGGCATAGGTGACAGTAGTCTTTGTCTTTATGTGAGGTGTTTATTGGCATGATAATGATGTCTGTCATCTTCAGGGATCTGCTGTGATGTAACTTGGTATCTAGATCACTAGCTTGGTTAATATGCTGTAACATGGCACATTAGCTGTTTTGACTTTGGCAGCATATTGGATTTCTGTCATTACAGTAAGTGCGTTTGGCGTACAAAAACAGATCTGAAGAAGAATCATGCTGTTTTGGCATAGGCACTTTATAAACCAGAGTTAGAAAATATGTGCAAAAATTATGCTGGACCAACTGACTCTCTATGCTCGGATTATAGTTCTCTACCTCTTGAAGATTGAAATGCTCATCTTTTTATGCTGTTGTGCAGGGTGTAAAGGAAATAGTAGAAACATGGGAACACATGAAATTCACTGTACAAAAATACTTCAAAGGCACTCAGGAACGAGGCTTTATTCTGGGATCTGTGGATGAGATTATACAGATTCTTGATGACAACACTGTCAATCTTCAGAGCATTTCAGGCAGTCGATTTGTGGGCCCTTTCCTGTCAACTGTTCATCACTGGGAAAAAACTCTGTCATTGATTGGTGAAATAATTGAGGTAGGGAAGAAAGTGCTCAACTAAATAATTAATGTTTATTATTTATAATTAGGGCTTTCCATTGTGTTTTTTCTTTGATGGTAACATGTGACTTTCTTAGGTCTGGATGGTGGTTCAGAGAAAATGGATGTATCTGGAGAGTATCTTTATAGGTGGGGATATAAGATCGCAACTTCCAGACGAAGCAAAAAAATTTGACAGCATAGATGCAATGTTTAGAAAGGCAAGTAACTGACTTGACTTATGACCAAAATAATGTTTTAGTGTATTCTGCATTATTATCTGTAGCCTTCTGCTCAGAAACGTTATTTGTAACACCACTGATGATGTGTTAAAATGAATTGGAGCTTAGGAATCCAGGAAGTCTGAAGTGTTACACTTCATTTCTGCCATACACAAAGACTTCCCCTAACTTAGCTAAGCTGAGCAAAGTCATGATCCTTAGCTGGCAGTATTGGGCAGCAGAATCCCCTTTACCTTTCATTAGATATACCTTTTTACCGTAGGAGGAAGCTTAAATGCATTTCTGTAGATTGAGGAGCTGTCTCTGCTAAAAAGGCTTTGCTGGTATGAAATCACTCTTTCTATACTGAACTCATGCTCCCAGTATGAATACAGCTTTTCTTTTTCTCAGCTACAAAATTGAAATAATGCTGTGATTCTGAAATGCTATGTGTGTTTTTCACTTGAATACCACTGTATACGGAAGCGAAATTAAGTATGTGCTTATGTTTGCTGTCTAGGTACACAGACTTGTCTCTCTTGCCCTTGTGTTATAGCAGTATCTCCTATTCATGCTGGTGACATATCATATCTATATGTTCCTATAGTATAGCAAAAATAGGCAATGATATTTCAACTACCTCAAATTCACTTCTGTGAGAACTTAGATTGCTCCTGTATTTTGTAACTTGCTAAATATAATTTCCGTGTAATCCATTGCTCTTCAGTATTTTCTAAACTTCCTTTTCTCCCCTATAGATAATGGATGAAACTGTAAAAGAACCAATAATAAAAAAAACCTGCGAAGCCCCAAATCGGCTGTCAGACCTCCATCATATAAATGATGGGCTAGAAAAATGTCAGAAAAGCTTGAATGATTATTTGGATTCAAAGCGAAATGCATTTCCAAGATTTTTCTTTATATCTGATGAGGAGTTGCTTAGTATCCTTGGTAGCAGTGACCCACTCTGTGTCCAGGAACACATGATAAAGGTAGTATGTTCAACTTGCCATAGTACCCTGTGCTTTTAGATGTTTTATAGTTTAGCAGACAATACTGTATATTGTGTTGAGGGTATGCTAATATTTTTTGGATGTAAAGAATATCTTCTGAATAACCAAATCAGTTCCAGTCCATAGTCTGTCTTGTGTCTTGAGCAGGCTGGTATCAGTCATAGTAGAAGGTTCAAGATGCCCTCCCATGATTAGTCATGATATAACCTTCTTGTAGTTCTTGATAGATTTTATTCGTCTGGGGTAAAAAAAAAAAAAAAAAATGTAATTTGAGTCAGATTATCTGCCTGTTTATTCTGCAGTTTGGTTTATGAGCATTCATCGGTATTTGTATTTGATTACTTAAAATTGGATCTATTTCTCTTTAGAGTCCATGGAAATTTCCTTTCAACTTTAAATGGGGGTTAGCTACACTTAAATTTTAGAAGCTCTGATTCTCAGATGCCAGTTAGTTTCTTTCTTGATGCATTTCAGATGTATGATAACATAGCTTCCCTGAGGTTTCGGGATGGTGATGGCGGGGAGAAGATTGCAACAGCCATGATTTCAGCAGAGGGAGAGGTGATGGAGTTCCGCAAGGCTGTAGCTGCAGAAGGCAGAGTGGAGAACTGGATGACAGCAGTGCTGGTAGAAATGAGACGGACTAACAGGCTCCTTACTAAAGAAGCCATTTTTAGATACTGTGAAGACAGAAGCAGGTGAAAAAATCAGTGTCAAGGATAACATAAATAGCCTTATATGTTGTTATAAGCCTGGAGCAGTTTAGAAATATAGAGACTTCATTTTTTCATTTATACACAGTTTAGCCTGTATTTCTGTGGGTGGGGAAGTATGGATACATGCGTATGTAACTCTATATATCATTCCCTAAGTCTTGAATATTCAGTTTTAGTGATGTGTGCACAGTTTGTTTTTCTCATTATCAATTGCACTTTGACTTCACATATGGAATAGGTAACTTTTCCATGAGAGATTTTTTATGATCTTACCTTGACAGAATTCTATGCATTCTGCCTATACTGTCGTTGCTGTAGAAATAAAACGATGATGACTTGTAAACAGTAACTCAGGCTCCCTCACTGTATTTATTCCTCATAGGGTTGAATGGATGTTACTGTACCAAGGCATGATGGTGCTGGCTGCTAACCAGGTGTGGTGGACCTGGGAGGTGGAAGATGTCTTTCGAAAAGTGAAAAAGGGAGAAAAACAGGCAATGAAACATTATGCTAAAAAAATGCATCAGCAAATTGATGACCTGGTTACCTGCATTACAAAGCCCCTGAGTAAAAATGACAGGAAAAAATACAACACTGTTCTTATTATTGATGTGCATGCTAGAGATATTGTCGATACATTCGTAAGAGACAGGTAAACCCTCCAACCTATTTTGAAAATACCAGATCTATAATTTGTATTCCCATCCGTTTACTTAATGTGAGCAAACCTCTCTCGTGTAGCATTCTGCAGGCTCAGGAGTTTGAGTGGGAAAGCCAGCTACGTTTTTACTGGGATCGAGAGCCGGATGAACTGAATGTGCGGCAGTGCACGGGCACGTTTTCCTATGGCTATGAGTATATGGGTTTGAATGGACGACTCGTCATCACCCCACTTACAGATCGCATTTATCTTACGCTCACACAGGTATGTATGTTCAAGGAGATTTTTCTAGCATGCCCTTTAAAACAGACTTCTGTGCAGTCAGATAATTATTTCATTTGCTGCCTTGCTTCCCCTTAGGAGACAATCTGAACATTATTATATTTGGAATAAATTGCAATATCCTTCTAAAGATCAGTTGCAGTATTCTCAAAGATAATATAAAGTGCATTTACAGTCAAAATACAGCTTTTATACCCAAAGCTGTGTTACCGATGTTTGTTAACAGCCTAGTATAAGTATAATCCAAGCCTTGCTTTATTTTTTGGTTTGTCTCCAAAGGCTTTATCCATGTTTTTGGGAGGAGCACCAGCAGGGCCAGCAGGTACAGGGAAAACAGAAACAACCAAAGATCTGGCCAAAGCCCTGGGCTTGCTGTGTGTAGTGACAAACTGTGGCGAAGGCATGGATTTCAAAGTAAGAGTTAAAACATTATTTACTCTGATAATAGAATCTGCAATCTGCATTTGATAGAAGTAGTTTTTGGAAGAGTCTGAGACAGGTTGCTAGCTCCTTTATAAAAGCTCGCTGTCTATAAATATCCAGTGGCTCTACCCACTTGTTAACAGTTTTAGGGTACTCCAATGTTTGCTGATGCTGAGCGTTTTATATATGAGTTGTTGAGACTTTTCTCCTGTTTTTTTTAGGCTGTTGGTAAAATTTTCTCTGGTCTTGCCCAGTGTGGAGCATGGGGATGTTTTGATGAATTCAATCGTATTGATGCTTCTGTACTTTCAGTCATTTCTTCTCAGATTCAGACTATTCGAAATGCTTTAATGAATCATCTGAAAACATTTCAGGTAAACATTAACAATCAAGAGTAAGTGTGAAAGCTGGTCTTTTGCTTGAGGCTAAGGTTCAGAGATAAATTCTCTCACTAGGTCAAAGAACTGTTTCTTCTGTAATACATTTGCGCTGAACATTTCAAACCGCAGAATATGTGGTCTCTGTTTCAGAAATATTAAATCCTTATTTGTTTTTTTAGTTCCTTGCTATCCCTTTCTTTGTAAAGAAGGATATTAGTAATCTTATAACAATAAAAGGGATAATAGTAATTAGGAATAAAAATAAGTTAACTTTGATATAGGCCGTGAGGCAGCCTTACAGATGTTTATAAGATTTGGGATTCTCAAACAGAAAATTTGACTGTGAAGTGTGAAATGTCTTGATGATTTTATCTAGGGTGCAAATAGTCAGGTGAATGTATCCAGGTGGATATCTAAAGCTAATATTTTGGAATATTTTAGCCTAAGTACCATAATAATACTGTTTTTTGTTTGTTTTTGTGAATATTGCTATTTCTTTTGTTTCCAAATACACATTTTACTAACATTTCTTCATGATTTTAGTTTGAAGGACAGGAAATTACTCTTGATAACCGAATGGGCATTTTTATTACTATGAATCCTGGCTATGCTGGTCGAACTGAGCTCCCTGAGTCTGTAAAAGCTTTGTTCAGGCCTGTGGTTGTTATTGTACCAGATCTCCAGCAAATCTGTGAAATCATGCTCTTTTCTGAAGGATTCCTTATGGCAAAGGTAAGAAAATTGTGTTGCTCTCCTTATGAATATACACATATGTGTATACATGGTCAGTGTTTGATTGCGACTTACATACTTGTTATTCTCTGACTTAACTCTCAAATAGACCCTTGCCAAAAAGATGACAGTACTATACAAGCTGGCTAAAGAACAACTTTCTAAACAACATCATTATGATTTTGGACTGCGAGCCCTCAAGTCGGTGTTGGTGATGGCTGGAGAGCTGAAAAGGGGATCAGCCGACCTCAGTGAGGTAGACTGGTGACTTAATTGCTCTGGGCAGATCATCTTTTCCAGTAGGAAGAAGTTGTGGTTACAAATTTGCTATAGTTTGTATGCCTTAGAAATAGTGACACTTGTGGCGCTTTTTTCATGCCATTTGAATATTATGGCTTTCTCTTACACCTATTTTTTTAGATTTCCACATTGGCAGTCATGATACTCAACTGCCTAGGGGAATTCTTACTCAAATTTTTGTTTAAAAATTGGAGAAAAATAGAAGAAACTCTCCTGTAAAGCCATATACAGATTTGTAGGTGGGAGTTTAGTTGGTTGTTTTAATATGAGATCAGGCAAGCAGTGGTGTAGACCGCTCCAACCCTTCTCATTTGGCATTTTGGTCATTAGAATAGAAAAAATGCTGTATTTTTTTTCTTTAGCTTCTGATCAGCTTAATCCTTATTAAAAAGTCTTTTTTTTCCCCCAGTAGTAACTGCCAAGAAAGCATTTCCAAAGCTGTGCTAATATAATTGGGCAATAACTTTTTAGAGATGTTTGAAACTACTACATGTTGGATAATTGGTTAGCTATTTGATAGAGACTGATTCTGCTATGTTTTGTTTAGGATGTCGTACTGATGAGAGCTCTACGAGATATGAATCTTCCTAAATTTGTGTTTGAAGATGTACCTCTCTTCCTTGGCCTAATTTCTGACCTGTTTCCTGGCCTGGATTGTCCCCGAGTCCGCTACCCTAACTTTAATGATGCTGTAGAACAAGTGCTGGAAGAAGAGGGTTATGTTGTTTTACCAGTCCAGGTAAAAAAAAAAAAAATGTTAATTGCTTGAGTTTTTGTCATAAACATTGGGTGGATTTGCATTGCTGCACTCTGGAATGACTCCTGCAAATCAAGAGAGCTTAGTTGGTAGAGCTTAATTGCTGATCTGGTCCATAGATGTTTTACAGCCAGCAGTCTATTGAACCAATATTTTTTTTTAGGTGGATAAAGTAGTTCAGATGTATGAGACAATGCTAACTCGTCACACTACAATGGTGGTTGGACCTACCGGAGGTGGCAAGACAGTTGTCATTAATGCTTTGTGCCACGCTCAAACCAAGTGAGTGCAGAATTTGATACAGGGAAATCTGGTTGTAAAATGGCACAGTCCATAGACTGCCATGTGTAGTCATGGTAGGATCTATAGCTGACTATAAGATTTGGGTTAACATGAGGTGGTGTGGAAAAGCAATCTTTATACTGCTTTTATTTCTGTGCCCATAGGCTGGGATTACTGACAAAGCTTTACACACTGAATCCTAAAGCTATGAGTGTGATTGAACTATATGGGATCCTTGACCCTACCACACGAGACTGGACAGATGGAGTCCTGTCAAACATCTTCCGGGACATCAACAAGCCTACTGACAAGAAAGAGCGAAGGTAGATAGCTAGGAATCATCATGGTAATTTTTAGATACTCTTCAGTTTTATGTTGATCTTTTACTGTTATTATAACATAACGGATTTGATACTGCATTTTTTCAAAAACAAATGTAAAATGAACAGAAAGTCTGTAGGGGGTTGTCTCTCTTCCTTTGTGAGCTTCCAGCCTCAGTGAGATGAATGGGAACTATTCAAGTATCAAAAATGCATAGAAGGCTTCAAAATATGGGGACTGGCACAAACACTTTTGGAGGAGGATCTATATTCTGAAATAAATGTTAGTAAAAATGGAGAGTGTCAGTCATTGTGTCCCTTGACTTCTCTATCCACAGATACATTCTTTTTGATGGAGATGTGGATGCTCTCTGGGTGGAAAATATGAATTCTGTGATGGATGACAACAAATTATTGACCTTAGCAAATGGGGAGCGGATTAGGCTCCAGGCACATTGTGCTCTTTTGTTCGAAGTAAGTGATGACTGTAAAATCTAATACACAGGAAAGGTTAGAGCCAGCTTGGTCTGCAAAGACTGAAAAGCAGTTGTTGTGGCTGGTTTTCATTGTTAAAGTGTATGATTATCCTATATGATTATTTCATAGGTTGGAGATCTACAGTATGCATCTCCTGCCACAGTATCCCGGTGTGGAATGGTCTTTGTAGATCCTAAAAATTTGAAATACAAGCCTTACTGGCAAAAGTGGACCCAAGAAAGAGGAAATGAGGTAGGAATTTTTGCGCTTGATCACAGTATCTGTATTAAATAATGGACTGTGGACAGGTGTTAGAAAATCTCTGTAAAGGCAGTCTGATTTTATGAATTCCCTTGTAATTCATTTGTTGTGAAGGCCTCTATCACTGAGTTCCATTACATATGTAAATACAAACTAGCTCTGCTTTGATTTTTATAATGGAATCTGAGAAGTGAAGATCTAAGAAATTATCTAATCCATGAAGAGTTAACAGAGAAGATTACTTAGTCCTTGTTGCATACATTTAGATTTAAAACTAGTTCACAGAGAACCGAAGTAAGAAAATTTAGTTGTTATCAGTTGATGATTGTAGATCGACACCTCCTGAAATAACAGTCCATACAAGAGTCACATTTCTTCCTGTAACTATCCTCTCTTTGACAGAAGTGAGGTCTTCAAGAACAATCACAGTTGGTTAATGAGATAGTGATGAGAAACATTGCTGCCATAAAACAGCTTTCAATGTTTGTATGTGCTGAATTATTGTCTGTTTCTTCCCACAGCAAGAGAGAAATGAATTGAATCATCTTTTTCAAAAATATGTGCCCTACCTTATTGATATGATCATAGAGGGGATTGTGGATGGCAGACAAGGAGAAAGGCTGAAGACTATTGTTCCTCAAACAGATTTAAATATGGTGAGGAATGCAAAGTAATGGTTGAAAACGTGAAACTAAATCATGGATAGAGTAAAAGAATGCCAAAGAGGATGCAGTAGTAGAGCCTTTGCTGACTTGTCCATTTCCTAGTGATGAGCAGCAGGAGACAGTAGAAAGAATCGTTTCCTTATAGTGCTCTTCTGTGGTCATTAATACTCATATTAATAGATAGCATTTATAGGGACAAAAGATTATGAAACAGGCAGCTGAAAGATGTTAGAGTTTTGATGCTTTTAATTGTCATTTCTGTTTGCATGTCTTGTCTTACAACAGGTAGTGCAGTTGACTATGATGTTGGAAGCTCTAATCGTGACACAATATGATGAGCCTGATATTCTGGAGTGCTTTTTCTTGGAAGCTTTATATTGCTCCCTAGGCGCTGCTCTTCTTGATGCTGGAAGAATTAAGTTTGATGAAACAGTTAAACGTATTTCCTCTATGTCTACTGTTCATGATGATAACATCCTAGCTAAGCCTGGGGAGTTGCCAGGTAGGATTTTCTCATAATTTACTCTGATTCCCTTTGATTAGACTAATAAAGGCTTTGTTTCCATGAAGGCAGAGCATTGTTCTTCCTTCCAGCTAGCTATCCTGGCTGCAAAAGATGTTTGATGATCTCTGTACAACTACCACTGAAAACCATGCAAAGACACAGGTGCTAGAGGACTCTTAATTGCTGGCCTATTCTTAAACAGTATTTTTCTGTGTAAAGCTAAGGAGAGAGAACCAGTACGAGGATGCTTCAAAGAGGGGTAGTATGATCCATGTACTGGACTAGGAAAATTGCGTTTGATTTCTTAACCTGTTAAATAACAAGTAAATGGAACACAGTTGTACCACTTGGTCCCAAACCTTACTTTTTATTTTCCTCTCTGTCAGACTATTTTCTCATGAAATATTTCAGTGCTCTAGAAAATCTCCAATTGCTAAATGCTTTGCAGGTCAGCTGCCAACTTTGTATGACTTCCATTTTGATGTCCTTAAAAAAAGGTGGATACCTTGGATGAAACTTGTTCCTGAATATATTCATAAGCCTCAAAAGAAATTTCTTGACATTTTAGGTAAGATATAATATAATGATGATGTGCTGCTACTGAGTGGTGGGACTTAGAATGGGACATCTTCTATTTGTGATGAAGGTCATTGGATCAGGTTCAGCTTCTTGTGACAACACAATTCAGTTTCTTCAATGATCTTGTCATGGTAGTTCAGAGGGAGTTGAGATTTGTAACATTGTGTAATAAATAAAGAAGTGAGGAAAGAATTAAAAACTTGAGTTGGTTATTAAAGCTTTTTTAGGAATGGACAATGCCTCAAGAAACTTGAGAAAAAGTCTCAAATCGCTGATTTAATATGCTTAGTAGATATATATCAAAAAAAACCTAAAGATTGTCATCTGTTTTTACTTCAAGTACTCCCTAATGGTGACAAGTGCTTTTCATAGTTTATGACAAATTAATAGATGTTATTTTATAGTATTACTTCGTCAAGCACAGGTTAATTTCACTGACAGAGAGATATGATCTCTAAAGTTGTTCCTAAGTGCAGATTATTCATAAGAAACAAAATTCATTTCTGTAGAGTACCAGGAAAATGCTTATGATCCAAACAAATCCTGATTATATTTTTGAAATAGGAGTTAAACAGAGCTTAACTGGTCCATGACCTTTCTACATGGAGGATAATTTCCTTTCTAGCATATATGTAGGAGAAAAGATCCCTATGCTAAAATCTCAAACAAGATGTGGCTGAGCAATTAAAATTTTCCTTCAACATTGTTAGTAAGTTGATATTTCTCACTATACATTTGTGCAACTGCACATTAATACCTTGTGTCTCTGATCCAGCACTGTTCTATAAATATAAATCCCTCAGTGCACTGCATTTTAATTTGACCTGCTATCATATCCATGTTTTTTTTTTTTTTTTCAGTGCCTACAGTGGATACCACACGCACTACTTGGTTGCTAGAACAGATGGTAAAAATAAAACGCCCAGTTGTTCTTGTTGGTGAATCGGGTACTTCAAAAACTGCGACTACACAAAACTTCCTAAACCATCTGAACAAAGACCTTAATGTACGTATGAGGCATTTCATGGTGTTTGTAAAGCTGCATTTTCATTCTTTGTCTTTTTGTTAAATTTGCATTTTGAAGCCTGAATCTGTGGGTAGAAGTACTGATTTTGATGGAGCCTCATATAGGTACAGAGATCGACTGCAAGCTCAGACCAAAACCTGTAAAAGATTTGAGAATCTTTCAGGATGGAATACATTTTGTTCTGTTCTACCGCATAGACATTCAATTTTATAAAGTAAATATATGTGCTTAGAAAAAGAATTTGACTCTCTTTTCGTCCTCTGTAATGCAAGTTAATAACTAGACCAGAGCAATGTTTGCTCTACTAGGAAGAGAGAAAAAAAAAAAAAAGGTAAAAATCTATTCTTATTCATTTCTTGTCCTCCGCAGCTGCTGCTAGTAATTAACTTCTCTTCTCGCACCACATCAATGGACATTCAGAGAAACCTAGAGGCAAATGTAGAGAAACGGGCTAAAGACACTTACGGCCCCCCTATGGGAAAGCGTCTCCTCGTTTTCATGGACGATATGAATATGCCAAGGGTAAGCTGCCAGGGTATTTGCAAGTTAATATAGCTACGTGTGGGGTGGTGCTGGTGTGGTTCTTTCACAGAGATGCATCTAATAACAAGTCAGAGCGATTCGTGTCAAATGCAGAACTGCATTTTAGTTTAGGGTCTTCAGAAGAAATTGTTTGCAGTAGGGATTATTTCTGTCTATTACGATATTTATTCTGTGTATTAGACCTGTCTCCTTTTGGAGACTTCCTTTTGGATCATTTCTTTATGCCATTAAAATCATGTCTTTGTGGCCTGATACTGGCTGAAATTGGTCTCCTGTAGAAAACATCCTTTCCCCTTTATCAGCTGCACAGAAGAGTATTTATTTACCTTGGAGAAGAGGCCCTTATCCCATATGAGACATGGGCATGAATGCTCTCAAGCAGCTAGAGCTTTACAAACTGTCACTTAGACCCTCTAAAGTTCTACCAAGTATGGAGCTCAATATTTCCACATATATAGCAGTCTTGTCAAACTGGTGCACAACTCTCTAAACATCTTGGCTCTTCTGCATTACAAAGGTTGATGAGTACGGCACACAGCAACCTATTGCCTTGTTGAAGCTGCTGCTAGAAAAAGGTTTCTTGTATGACCGCGGGAAGGAGATGACCTGTAAACTTCTTCGAGACCTGGGTTTTATTGCTGCCATGGGGAAAGCTGGAGGAGGTCGGAATGAGATTGACCCTCGATTCATCTCACTTTTCAGTGTTTTTAATGTACCTTTTCCTTCTGAGCAATCACTGAACTTGATCTATGCTTCCATCCTGAAAGGCCATACTGAGGTAATTTTTATTGTATTTAAAAGGCTGTTTTTGACTTACTATTTTTAAATAGACATTTATTTCCATCAAAAGACCTGAAGTCCTCTTTATCAGCTTTCCCTCTTCTTCTTTAGAACCTCATACCCTTCCTTTCCGCTTCCCTTCTGAAGAGATGTTTGCACAGAGCTGATAAATTCATCAATAGTATGTAAACTTTCAAGCTAGGAGATAATTTGTGAGACCAATGCTTTTCATAGGTTGAAATCTATGAACCATTTGGTTATGGTTCAATAACCAAATCCCCAAGTTCAGCAAATTCTTTCTTGAATGAGTGAAAAATTTAGTATAAAGCAGTCAAGTGCATAACTAACCAACTAAACTGCAATATTATACAAGAGAAGAGCAATTTATTTATTCCTTTATGGAAGAGCTATAGAAATTCCAGTCTCAGAGCATGGCCATATCATTTTCAGCACAGTACAAGCTCAGGACCTTGCCCAAAACATTTAGCTTTAGGGTGTCCGTGCTACACACTAATGTGAATTTCTAAAAATGTTTGCCCTCGGTTGTGTGAAGTATGTCACGCAGGGGTAGAAGTTGTAAAACAGAATATGTTTGAGAACACTCAGTTCTTTATGGGCAATCTCATGAAAACACCTCTTTTTTCTCATGTTTGCAGATGTTCAATGAATCTATAGCAGCCATCGCTGACAAGATGACAGTGTGTACTTTGGAGCTTTATAAAATGATTGTCCATGATCTACCCCCTACTCCTTCCAAATTCCATTACATTTTCAATCTGCGGGATCTTTCGAGGATCTATAATGGGCTTGTTCTTACAACTCCAGAGAGGTAAGAGTAGAAAAATTGTCTTTAGTGGCCCTATGCCCATTTACATTGGATGAATCCAGGTGAAGATGAGATGAAAAACAGTCACAGTTGGTCACTTTTTACAGAACCATCACCATGCAGAGGAGAAATGTTCTTTCTTAAATATGGTATCTAGAGGTAAAGATGCAAACAAATTAATTATTCTTCCTTATGAAGAAAAAAAAAAAAAGAACAAAAAGATGGAAAAAGCCAATCCAGACTTTGATCAGTGTTATTAACAACACAGCCTTAGGGATCTTATTGACTCATCTGGTGCAGTCTGATATTTTGATGTTAATGCAGGTTCCAAACAGTTGCCCAGATGGTGAGAGTCTGGAGAAATGAGTGTCTGAGGGTTTTCCATGACAGGCTGATTAATGAAGCAGACAAGGCATTGGTGAGTAATTGCTTTCCTTTTTAGTAGTCACTGACTATATTACTAATTTACAACAGCAACATTATCAACTGGTGCACTTATGTCCTTGCAGTCAGACTACAGACTTTTCTGACCATTCTGTTGCTCCATTAATTTCAAATAATGGTCCATGGAAGTTTTTTTTTTTATTATTTTTTTCCATAAAATAACTGTAGAAGAGTAAGTGAGAAGATCTGCAGAGGAACAAAAAGTCTCACTGGATTCACTGGTCCAGGAAATATTGGTTAGCAGTGCCATGGGTGACATATATGAATGTGAGAGCAGTGCGGGTGGAAACTGAGGAAATCGCCTCCTTCTCAAGTCAGTACCTTTCTTTGGGAAGAACTGTGTCAGGATGTGACTATACAGTGAAGTGTATTGTGGAGGAGGAAAGGGTAAGAGCTGGGCTCTTACACAGTGCATTCAGTTTTGGCAATTAATGCAGACTGGAAAATGATCCAAATTGCATCTTAGAAGAGAGAAGCAAGACAGTTTTATATCTTGAAAATTAGAGGAGGATTTGGACAAAGTCTACATTTATGTAAACATCTTGCTTTGATAGAAAGAGATTTCAGTGGTGGTCTGCTTAAAATGTTCTCCTCAAACATAAAAGACACATTTCCAGCTCAATTTTCCCTCAGAATAGCTCAGAATAATTATACCGCAACGTTTGTGTATTTGTACGTTCATTCATACCATCAAGATTTGGGGGAAGTTTTGGCAGCCAGACATACATATAAATGCCGAGAAGAAAGGTTGATTAATATTTATGCCAAAATACAATAATCTATTTTTTTAATAAGCCTATTATTTCTTGCATTAAACTTCTGCACTCCACTGTCTTGAATGGTTCCTGTATTGTTTATTAGGTCATTTTAGATTATATACAGAATATATTAGAACATTGTGAACTTTGGGCTTTTTAGTGACATCAATATGCCCTTGAAATCAGTTGATACTTGAGCAAGAATTTGCATCATCATCCCTCTAAATGTTCTTGTATTCAGAGTCACCTGCTCTGTTGGCTTGCCTGACTGTTTCATATACTTGAAGGTACAAGGCCATATAAAGCACCTGATTGAGGAGAATTTCCCAGACGATTTGGAGCAGGCCATGAGGGATCCTATTCTTTTTGGAGATTTCAGAACAGCGCTGAGTGAAGGAGAGCCTCGTATTTATGAAGATATTCAAGACTATGATGCAGCAAAAGCTCTCTTTCAGGTAATGTGCTTCAGCCTGGAACTTTGCCTGTTTCTGACTCTGTGCATGAGGAAGCAGCAGGAGCCTGCTTCAAACTATAAGGAAATCCATTCTTCTTTCGTATGGACATAGAATTTTCATTGCTACTGTTTTGAGGTCTACAGTAATGAACACAGAGCATCAGCTACAGACTCCACGGTGCTTTCCAGTGATTTATGTTCCCCAGAGTTCTTTTATGCAGTGTGCCTCTAAATAGATTGTTACTTTAGTAATGTTACTCCTTCCCTGGTCTCCTAGTAACTTTCTGTCCACCTTTCTCTGCAGGAGATTTTGGAAGAATATAATGAATTTAATATTAAAATGAATCTGGTTCTTTTTGATGATGCTCTGGAGCACTTAATCCGTGTACATCGCATCATACGGATGGACCACGGCCATGCCCTGCTCATAGGAGTAGGAGGCTCAGGCAAGCAGTCCCTTACGAGACTGGCTGCATATACAGCTGGATGTGAGGTTAGTGACTCTTCACAAAAAACAATATTGGTACCAAGATTAAACTGGAGTGGCAGAGGAAGGAGAAAGACGGTCAATGAAGGTACAGTCAGTGTGGCACCTCTTCCCTGTAGGGAGAGAAATACAGTGGGGTGGTTGCCAGGAGGGCCAAGAGGACCAAATTGTTGTCAGTACTCGGATCTGGGAATGGAAAAAAAAGATCAATTTGGGAGTGAAAAATGAATAGTCCTTAACTACTGTTTGTGTTGCTTACCTGCATTACAGCAGCATTCCAATGCTTCTTGAGGAACCTTATTGCTATTGATACAGTTCTATATTCAGTTAGTAATTGTTCCTCCAGAGATACTTTCAGTTTCTTACAGAAGTTGGTGGGTTGGGAAGGAAGAAAAAGAAAAAGGAAAAAAAAAAAAAAGAGGAGGAACACAAGATATTTTGGGGAGTAGATTCCTGCATGGTTGTACATATATAATTATTTAAAAAGAATGCAGTGCATATTTTTTTGATGTTGTATATTTATTGATGATAAAGGAATCAAACCAAAACCACTGATCAAAATCTAATGGATGCTGAGTTCCAAATTTACTATTGTATCTTGGGTCTTCTGAGTATATGTTTGCATCCTTAGGTATTTGAGATCATCTTGAGTCGAGGATATGGGGAGAATAACTTCCGAGAAGATTTGAAAAAATTGTATCTAAAGCTGGGCATTGAGAACAAGTCCATGATCTTCTTGTTTACGGATTCCCATGTAGCAGAAGAGAGTTTCCTGGAACTCATCAACAACATGTTAACTTCAGGTAAATGTAAACAGTATCCTTCCTGCCTCTGGATCTTTCCAACCCTCTCCCTCATTCTATTCCCATTCTGTTTATGTATATTAGATAACTTAAACAGTATTAGCGATGTGATTGAGAGAAGTAAGATATGAATTGATGATTTGTCGTCTTTAAAGATACTAAGGTTTTTTTTTGGAGAGTTGAAAGCACTTTGTGTTTTTGAGACATTTTATGTTGTTGAAGTCTGAACAAAAATTAAATAATTATTCCTTTAAATTCCCATACACTGTCCTAAGTACTTCCTGTCTGTTTTCCATGAAGGAGGAGGAGAAGCATAGAGGTGGCTCAAAATTATCCAGAACCCAGAATAATTTTTGCTGACCCTAGGGTTAGAATTCCTGACTCTCTGCTTTCTGATTGGCCCTGTCCCCAGCCGTATGGTTTTCTATTACCCTCAGCATAGTTCTCACCAGCATTCTTCTGTTCTTATGTTGCAGGAATGGTGCCAGCCCTGTTTCCAGATGATGAAAAAGACACTATATTAAGTCAGATTGGAGATGAAGCTACTAAAGCTGGAATGAGTCCAACTAAAGAGAGTGTCTGGCAATATTTTGTAAATAAATGTGCATGCAACCTCCATATTGTCCTGGGAATGTCCCCAGTTGGGGACACTCTGAGAATGTGGTGCAGGAATTTTCCAGGTATCAATCATAGACAATGCTTAGTCCTTTCCCTGTGTGATACAGGTTTGCAGGCAAAAGAAGGTCTCTGCTAGACACAGATGTTTGGCAACTAAGGCTAAGTAAAGTAGGTTTCATGATTAACATTTGCAGTGTGTGATTTTTCCTGCAATTAATTGCCACATATCAGTAGGAATTATTGATTAACATTTACCAGATTAGTTCATTTTCCAGTTGAACAGCAAGAAATCTATTGGTCATTTTCATTGAACTGGAAATGTACAGATGGCCTGTATCTACAGCCTCTCTTTTGTAGTTTACAGAGGAATGTGTGTTACTAAATTATTATAAAGCCAAGATGATGGTCAGAGAAACAATTTTTTTTTTGTATCCAAAAACCACCTGATCCTTTGCTCCGAAACAGGCAGCTGGAAGTAGCTCTGGAGGAATCAACAGATTCCTGAAAGAGCAGTGCTGGTGGGAATTCCACCCTAAGAATGAAGATATCTTGTTACAGTTTTTTTTACTGCATCCTGTACAATAGTACATCCTAAAGAATGGTACTTTGGGGTTAGTTGAAAAGCTGATTATTTACTTTTAAAACTGAGGTATTGATTTTGTGGTAAATCTTGTTGCTAAGCAGGAATCAAGAAAGACAAATCTTGTAAATCCTTGATGCAAATAAAGTTAAGCAAAGGCCTGTCTTCCAGGTTACATGCTGATGTTACAACAGAATTGTTCTGATAATATTATTCTTTATTTTAAGGTCTTGTCAACAACACTGGTATTGACTGGTTCTTGCGCTGGCCTCCCCAAGCCCTGTATGCAGTTGCAAAATCCTTTGTCGGTATGTAAAATGCCATCATCTTTAACCCCTTAATTCCTGGGATAGTCCAAGAAACACATTGTTTACTTTGAAGGCATTGTAGGTCTCATGATTTTCTTTCTCATTGGGGCTGTTACCTTAACTTTAAACTGGTGATCCAAAACCCAGCATACCTGGGTTCTCTTCTGAGTTCTGCCTTAAACTGCTTTTTGTCCTGAAAAGCAGACTTGCGCTTGGATGTACATAAAAGCTGGAAGATAATTGACAAACTCTTGGAAAACTTCGGATTTTTTAAAAACTATTATTTCTGCTGCCCAATTTTAGGAGCTAGCCCACGTGTCCCATCAGAGAGCTCGGAGCTGGTGATTCAGCACATAGTCATGGTACATGAATCTGTCGGACATTTCAGCAAGAAGTTTCTGCAGAAATTGAGACGGAGCAACTATGTCACACCAAAGAATTACCTTGATTTTATCCATACATATTCAAAATTGCTTGAGGAGAAAAATGAGTTCATTTTAGGTAAGCCAGTGTAGATGCTTTCTCCTTTTTTAATAAGATATTTAAATAATGTAAATAGAAAAACACTTTATGGTGAAAATCCCATGTATTAACCATATAATGCAAAAGTTTTTTTTTTTTTTAATTCTATCTCCAGTGCTGTGCTGGATTATGGTTTTGACACTGGACCAATATCCTTGCCATATGTGAATGTTCTGGCTTTACATCAAATAGTGGGATTTTCCCAAATTCTTCTGTAGAACCTGCACCAGAATCTTCAGACTAAACCCTTTTCTGCTCGGGGAGAGCCTGATTAGATTTTAATAGACCAGCTCTATCCAACTCAATGTTTGATATTCTTCCTCAAGCAACAGTTCTCATTTATATGTCTGTGGGTAATGAAATATGTAAAGAGGATTAAAGAGGAACATTGCAAAATGAAAAGGAAGCCACGGTACAGGGCTCTGGAGTGGCTCAGATTGGCATTTATACCATCTTGGGTGGGAGAGTTAAGAAAAGAAAAATCTCTTCCACCCTTTTTTTGTAAACTAGGATGTCTGCTGCAAAATACAACTATAAGCATATCTGCTTGCTGTGAGACTGTCTATTCCTGTGTGACAGTAACAATGAAACTAATACTTTTCTCTTTTTTTTTTCTTTTTTTTTACCTAGCGCAATGTAAGCGGCTGGAGGGGGGCTTAGATAAACTGAAAGAAGCCAGTATACAGCTGGTTGAACTGAACAAGAAACTGGCAGAGCAAAAGATTGTACTAGCAGAAAAGTCAGCGGCCTGTGAGGCTTTGTTACAAGAGATTTCAACAAACACAGCAGTAGGCAAGTACTTCAGAACTCCTGAGGTGTCCTGCAGGGTAAGCAAGGTGCACACAGTCTGTGTTGGGTTAAGAGATGCTCTTATAAGCTCCAGCTGCTCCAAGAGATGAACTTGTTCTGTCTCTGCTGATCCAGTGTCCTACTACAAGAACAGGTCTCATATCATACCCAGATTCCCTTTATTTGTAAGGCTAAATTGCCTATAGTGCATTATACTCATGATCCAACTCAGGATTGTATTCTCCTGCCTTTCTCTTCTCTTCCATTACTAAGGCATTAGCAAGAAAAGGACTTTACTGATTCTGTAAGTAACTTAGAAGAAAGACACACGGGAAGAATAGGATAAAATGTAGCTACATGCACTTTTATGTGGAACACTAGCACTGTTCCTAACGAAAAAGTGATGGGAGGAGCCCTGTAAACATTAGCAAGTTATCAAGAAAAGGCTAATGAGTTGATAGTAGCTTCTGATTTTGAACCAGGAATAAATCTATAAGTTCTGGACATAAATGTGAACAATCTACTTATGGATCTGCCTTTACAATTCCTAGCTGAGGAGAAGAAAAAAATGGCTGAAGAAAAAGCTGTGGAAATTGAGGAGCAGAATAAGATTATTGGTGTGGAGAAGAAGGAGGCTGAGACAGCCTTGGCTGAGGCCTTGCCTATTTTAGAAGCTGCCAAACTGGAGCTGCAGAAGCTTGACAAATCTGATGTTACTGAGATCAGGTGATTCATTCAGATCTGCGGTAGTGCAAAGTTGGAAATTTACTGTGGAACACTTATTTGCAAGGGCTGAGCCTGAGTCTCTCCTTCCCCACCTGCATGGTGTGTGGGTAAAGGTCAGGGCATGTGTTGTCCAGGTGCAGAGATCACATTTGATGTACATTTGATGTCTTCCCTGAAATTCTCTATCCTGTGCCTGCTGTATTGGGAACTGCTGTGGGTTTTGTCTAAGCAGTGGCTGTTAAAATACCTCCATTCCTCCTCGTTTTCTATTCTGCGTGAATAGGAACACACAACACTTACTTTCAGGAATGCTTTGATAGCATAAAAATTTATTTATTTGCTGTGTTTTTATTATACAAATGCTTTGATAGCATAAAAATTTATTTCTTTGCTAAATTAATTCCTGTGTTTTTATTATACTTCTTGTATTTGGGGACAGATGTAAAGGTACATCTAGTCCTAAGCTGTCTGGGAAACAGCAACAGCTCTCCCTTCCCTGCCCCAATGGACACATGCCTCACTAGCTCAGGGTTTTAGGCCCTCCGTAATTGAAATACTTTAGTCTCTTTTTGATCAAATTGTCCAAATAGAATAAATATTTTTATCCCTTGTCTAGTTAGTCGTTTCTTGTCTGTCCTGAATTGTCTCTTTCACTTTGTGTAGGGCAGTCTTGCTGTATTGCAGTGACACTTCTTAACAGGAAGCAACTATGTCTGGCATCTTGTGCTTTGTCTCCTCCATTGTCTCCTTCATCTATTTTCTAGATCATTTGCGAAACCCCCTAAGCAGGTGCAGACTGTCTGTGAATGTATTCTCATAATGAGAGGGTACAAAGAATTAAACTGGAAGACAGCCAAAGGAATGATGTCTGAAGCTAATTTCCTGCGATCCCTAATGGAGATAGATTTTGATGGAATTACTCAGGGCCAAGTGAAAGCTGTACGAGGTAAATTACTGACCTGTGTGTGTGGAAAGAATGTAGCATCTTCCTAATGTGACTGCCCATGTCATCAGGAGTCCTTGCAGCATTGCAGGGAATATGGGATTTACTTTTCGTGCAAAGGAACAGCTGCAGTCCACAGTGCTGCAGGTGTTGCACTTTTGGGGTGACTGTATTTTTCAGAACGCAAAGACCTTTTTGCCATTTGCTACATCCAGTTTACATCCTAGTCTTAACTAGGGTCACAGGCACTTCTGCTTAGAGAGATCAAGAAACAGAGAGAAGAGCAGAGCAGAACTGTTGTCTGCTTTTAGCCACTTAGAAAGAAGCATTACAACCTCTTCTCATGGTGGCAATTAAGATGTGGTATGTATATGGTAGAAAGAAGACAGGCTACATTTAAAGCTTATGGGCCGAACCTTGCTTATGCTCCCATGGGTGTAATCCAGAGTAATTCCATTAAGAGATCAATTTGGCCTTTTTAACAAAGCAGCATCACTGCTGCTTTTTGGACATGCTGAACAACTTGTGAATGCACTCGCTTCTTGGGCAAAGAACTTCAAATATCACAGGCAATGTTGTGCTTGTAGCCCACTAACTTCATTTTAAGATTAAAGTCTCTAATTTTCTGACAAATGTTTCATAGTGCCTATCACAGCATTGCTCTGTGGCTGCAGAACTAAAGTGGTACTTCAGACAATGCTGGTGGGGAAAGCTATTTCTCTGAAGACTTCTGCACTGCAATTCAACTCACTTGTGGTATTTTTGTGTTTCCTCAGCTCTGTTAAAGAATCTTAATACTACCTTTGAGGAGATGGAAGTTGTCAGCAGAGCAGGACTGGGAATGTTGAAGTTTGTGGAAGCAGTGATGAGTTACTGTGATGTGGCTAAAGAAGTCAGGCCAAAGAGAGAGAAGGTAGAGTGTGTGGATTTGAACTAAGAGGAGATGAAGCATGACTGACGAGCAAAATAACACCTGACAATTTCATTCATTGCTCCATTTCTTTTCTTCGAAGTGCTTAAAAAGAGGAGTTTACTAAAACCAGTGAGGTCAGGGGTGAGCAGGTACAAGGTTAACTGCTTGTTTGTCTCCTGGGGCTGTTAGAGGGGCTCCCATTTGGGCCAGGGTGTGAAGCAGGAGGCAGAGATCTGTTCAGGTGGAGTTTTGCAATCTCACATGATCAGAGCTCAGCTTGCATGTGTCTGCTTAAAGCAAACTAGCAAAATGCATGGCATTTGAGCAGAGGAGAGCTCAGTACTGCCCAGCATCCATAAGGCCCTGTCTTACATACAGGTCTTTTATTAATAACTTTTTTATAAAGACTAGGAACTTAGCTCTAATAGCCATGGAGATCTCACATCTAGCAGATCATGGGAAACTCTCTATCAAGGAAAGATTCTTATATATATGTGACTACTAGGAAACTATGTTAAATGACAAGTCTAACAATTTTGAAAGGCCTTAATATCACTATTGCAGATGGACTAAGCTCCCATGTTATCATGGGATGACAATCCTGCTTATCTCTGATGTCAACTGGACTGCCCATTTATTTAATAGACCTGGTTGGTACAAACCCCTAGTTTAGGAGGTTTGTCTGCTTTGGAACTACTGGTTCTGACATATTGAATATATTTGGTATGGGGCAAGTTGGGTAAGAAACAGTGGTGGTTATTTTGGTTGACACTGCTTATTACCAGGGTGCCTTAAAATACATGAAATAGCCAAAAGAAATCTAAGAATTTAAGATTCATCTCCAAAACCTTTTCTTCCCTGATTCTCTTAATGATTTCTTCATTATGTAGGTGGCTAGACTAGAACGGAACTATTTCTTAAGTAAACGGGAACTGGAAAAGATACAGGCAGAACTGGCTAAAATTCAGGATGAGTTGAAAGCTTTGGGTAGGAAATATGAAGAAGCAATAGCAGAAAAGCAACAGTTACAAGAAGAAGCAGAGATTATGCAGAGAAGATTAAATGCTGCTGACAAGCTCATCTCTGGCTTGGGATCTGAAAATGAGAGGTAAGTCTAGATCCAGAGAGAAAGTTTTTGGACCTTAGGAGTTGGATCCTATGTCAGAGTTAAAGTCTACCAAACTGACACACTTTTGGAAACATCTCTTCCTGTGACATTTGTTCCTGCAAAGCAGCTAATATCCATTAGTGCTTGGAAAAAAGATGATTTTTAATGCAGAAGGAAAAAGTGAACTAAGATTAAAACAAAGAAGATTCAGATGAATGCTGTCATAATGATGACAGCAACTAAGTAAGTTTGAAGTTCTATCTTAACATGGAGCTAAAGTGGAAGCAGTTGGAAATTCTGCTTATAACCCACTCTTCTCTGGTACAGACAGATCCAAGATTCCTGTATTTTTCTCTCAGGTGGACAAAAGATTTAGAGGAATTCAAAATACGAAAAGTGAAGTTGCTTGGAGACTGTCTGCTCTGTGCTGCCTTTCTGAGCTACGAAGGAGCATTCAACTGGGAGTTCCGTAATGAAATGGTCTATCAAGTGTGGCAAGAAGATATCCTTTCACGAGAGATTCCACTCAGTCAACCTTTTAGATTAGAAAGCCTCCTGACTAATGAGGTTGAAGTTAGCAGGTATGTCCAGTCAAGAAGTCCAGTGACTACTGTATGTGGAACTGTGAAGTGGGAGTTCGGATCTAGATTTATAGGATAGAGTTGGTATTGTTCGTCGTGGTGCACAGCCATTTCAGAGAACATTTTACTTTCATCTTCCAAAGATGACAAGGAGACAAATCATTTTTCTTCCAGTTAACTGGGAATGTTTGTTATAATAAACCTTTGCTCTCCAAGGGTGTTCACTGAACCTAGACACACATAATGCCTTTTTAGAGTTTTTTTTTTTTTTCCCTCACTCCTATGGAGCTATCTACAGTATGTGTCCAACCCAGAGCACAGTGGGAGTCTTTGTAGACATCACTGATTTTTGGAATTAAAGCTATTCTCAATTAGTCCATATTTCTGCTACTGCAGCATTACTCACCACAGTGGTGTTTTGGATAGTATAGTTATAAATGGTGTTTTGGATAGTATAGTTAGAAATGACTCAAAAACAAGTCAGTCCCTGTTTAACAATCACGTGTGGCTTTTGCTTCCTTCTATTTCTATTAGAGTACTCAGTGGATTGCCTATTTTTACTGACAAATGAAATGTATTGCTTTCCCACCAAGTTTTGTCTCCAGCCTGCTCTTTGATCCATCCCCTTCCCAGGTGGGTTTCCCAAGGATTGCCTCCGGATGAGCTCTCCGTCCAAAATGGCATTCTGACAACATACGCAAGTCGTTTCCCGCTTTGTATTGACCCACAGCAGCAGGCATTAAATTGGATTAAGAAGAAAGAAGAAAAGAATAGCCTGAGGGTAAAGATGAAGGATCATTTTGTTTCTTTGCTGGTTGCTTTGAAAGCTGAATAAATATCTGTTACCTTGAACAGAGAGACAGTTACATATTGAAAAATGTGATGACTATAGGTAGTTAAGTATCACTGTCTACATGACTTTCAATTTTCTGAGAGTGGTATTTTGCATAAGAACATGGCTAGTTTCAGTATCAACAAAAATAGTGTAAGCAAAAGGCAGGTATTAAGCTTGTGTTTTTTCTCAGCTCCAGGATACAGTTTTCCTGTTGGACAATAACATAGAGACATAGTTGGAAGTTTGAAGAATAGCTCGCTATATAGCAGTTTTTCTCAACTCATTGAAAATATGTACACCTTTGTTATTTTATACGAGGGCAGTTTATATCATCTGTAAG